GTGTGTGTGTGTGAGTGTATGTAAATGTGGGTTGAAGAGGTGGGGTGGTGGTGGTGGTGGTGGTGGTGGTGGCAGGAGGGCCATCAAAGTCCCAGGAGGAGCAGGCAGGCAGGCAGGCAGCAGGGGCCCAATATTGACCAGGGCAGCAGCAGCAGCACATTGTTCAGCCTCCCACCGCTGTGAATGGGTTAGGAGTCAATATTGAGACAGTGAGCCACCATGCAGACAAGGCTTTGTCAAAAGCAGGAGGTTATGCAGCAGGAGGAGCAGAGAAGCTAAAAAGAGGAGGAAACATTTCACTCAGTGCCCCCAACTGCAGCATCAAAAATCACAATACTTGAACTTGTTGCTGCTTCTGCTCCCTCCCTCTGTCTCCCGCCGGCTCCAATGAAACACTCACTGACTTTTTTTAGCAGAGAAAATATTTATTGTAAATTCCGTTTTATCGTTTATTTATTGCCTTTATACGGCCGAGTCTGGCGCAGGGCCAGGCAGCGAGCAGGGGCTGAACCGCAGGCAGCTTCCAGCTGGGTTGCCTAACTTACACACAGGCTATTTATACTCTAATGGAAACAGAGGACAAGCAGAGGAGCTCTGTTGTGATGCAAAGGCCTGCTCAATGATAGATATGACGAGAGAAACCAAAACATCTCTATGCCTGTCTCTGCCCCCCCTCCCTCTGTGTGTGCATGTAATGAGTTGGCCCTCTGCCCTGGGACTCGGGCCCAGATGTGACCGGCTCCTCTATCAATAACCGGATCAATCGGAGAGCCGTTACACCTTCTGTTCTCTGCGTGCTCTCTGGGGAGGGACCTTGACTTTAGAGTTTATAATTTATCTTAAACGTTTGGGAAGGATGTCCTGGGATTTAATTGATTTTGAAAAAGCTAATTCGGTCAATTTAAAGCTGAATGAGGCAACTCTGTGTGCATGCTGTTAGCTGTGAATGGCACTGACAGAGTTCATTCAACTTCTTTTAAGACTGCAGGCAGAAAGATGTGTTTAGGCTAGAGGTTGCCAACCTTTAAGCTTATGACCCTTAACTCAATTTGGATTACACTCCCATAAAGTTTGGGGACTATGAAATGGCCAAAACTGAACCAGCCGAATCCGAGATATGCAGACTTATAGTCCCGATGAGTCAAGCTCTAAAAAGCCTGGATACTACATTTTAGTGTTCAACCGATCTGGGTTTTTCAGTGGCTGATGGCCAATATGTAATGCCGATATCAAAACAATGGAAAGTAATGTAAAATGCTATTCTACAGGGAATTTGGGCATATCTTTACAGCAGGATGCATGAGTTATTGTACACGGCTCGAAACCAACTTTTTCACCACCTTCCCAAGTTTGATTTGCCAGTATAAATTTACCTGGATCTTCTGCATTGTGGGGCTCATATCACAAGTGCAGCAGAGAGTAACGTCTGGTTTAGCCCTCAACTAACTTGCATGGGGATACAATTATTTAATAGTGCGGCTGTTCTAGACGTTGCAAATTTTATCAGACAGAATGAATAAAATAGTGTGACGAGTCATTTTGTGGGGGTAGTGATGCTCAAAAACATTTCTCTCTATCCACTGTTTTACAGGCCCTTCTTTCACAATGTAAAAGTCTTTTTGGGCCAGTGTGCATTATGTGATGGTCATTGCTGTAATTACACGGCTTGGCCACTATGTCTCTTCCTGGGGGCTTGCTATTATTAGACCCTCCCTGCTTGAGTCGGTATGCTTCAGCAAAGTGCTAGTCGGTGGTTGAACACCTCAGACGTAGTAGGACGACACATCATAACTGTTTAGTTTTACACATAATTCAGCCTTGGTTGTCCCCATCTTTCAGACTCCACACCCCCAGTTTGTAATGCAGGCTTTCCTTTCAAATTTGTAGCTTACAAACCCAAGCTGAAATTACCCAAACATTTTCCCCAGACTTCACAAAACTCCTCCAGAGGTTTGTATGAAGCAGTTTTCAGGCTGAGGTGTACTCCTCGTGAAGAATAAACTGACTTTATTGTGTAAAATCGGTGTAGCGGCCTTTTAAAACAATGCAGAGTCAACTTGGTTCCATGTGTCAGTGGGTTATCACCAGGTCAGCAGTGTATTTTTCTCCTGTTGTATTGAACATTTTAAAGGCCACAAGGGTGAAAACACAAGCAAACATGAGAGGAATGTTTGATATGATATAGAACATTTTAATTTTGTGTTAAATTAAATGTTTTTTCTGTTTTCCTATCTTAGTAATCTTTCTGCAACTTCTCAGATTTATCTAGGGACCCCTTGGGTGGTCCTTGGCTTTTCCTAAGGAACCACTCGTGTAGGCTCATTATGCCTAAATTAGTGTCTCTGTGTTTCTTAATTGGAAAGCGAAACATCCATCATTCTGTCCTAATGTAGGTGTAAAACAAGCTAAATGAAGTAAAAGTAGTACATTGGAGTGCAGACCTGTTATCTTCTAAGTGCTAGTTGGTGGGCACCCACTATTCTGTGACTTGTTATACACACAATTCTTGTAATGTGTCATCAGACACAAACTGTGAACTCTAAAGGACACTAAAAGGGACAAAAGGGAACCCTAACTGATGAGACTAGCTGTCTTTAGTGCTGGCTCACTGCAGTAAGGAAACAGTTCCAACTTTTTCTTTCCTGTTACCAAGTCTGATATCTCAACTCAGGGTATGTACAGTTAAGTGCCATTCCAATACCAGTGCTTTCTTTTTCTCTAATTTAAAAGATGTATACCTCACTGCGTAAAGCTCACTGGAATCATTTTTGTGGGCGCTGAAGCTGATCCAGCATATCAGAACTCCAGGACTCGTCAAAACCACTGGCACTCGAGTCTAATAGATTTTTGATGTTTGTGCAGATGCAGACGAGTGCGCGGAGGGTTCAGACGACTGCCACATCGACGCCCTCTGCCAGAACACGCCCAAGTCCTACAACTGCATCTGCAAGCCGGGCTACAAAGGAGATGGCAAGCAGTGCGAGGGTGAGTTGTCTTTCTTCTTCATTGTACTTCATCACTTCTTCCCTTTGTATCAGCTTTCTGCCCTCATTAACTAAAGAGTAGTACCTAAAATGGATCTCGACTGTTCCCAGTACAAGTGGGAGCACGATCAGGAATGACTGGGATATAAGTATACATGTCAACATGAAACGGAAAGATGGCTATTTGCTTCAGCATATTTACTTGCCATAGCTAATGTTACAGTAGCTGCACAAGCTAACAACCGCTAACAGCCGCTAACATCAACATTCCTGGCAGTTAGCCACTTTCAGCAAAAAGTCCATCAGGAAACTCTGTGAATCACCTCGGTACCAGTCTGTCTCAGAGGCTGTGTTCAGTCCCAGTCAGGTCATGTTCCCTGGGAGCCTGCTGAGCCCGGTTCTGTTGCACGCTTGGCAGAGCAGCTGGAGAACATCAAAGGGCAAACCTGAATTTTCTACATAAAATATGATCCAGTT